GAGATGCTGTTCGAGTCTCATTTTTCTCTGGAAAGGATTAATTCAGCTATCTGCCTGTTAGATTCCTGAATTATTATAGTAACAGCTACATTGCAACCCACTATTTAAAAACATTAGAAGAGCTGGACATGGTGACACACACCTGTCGTCCCAGCATCTAGGGAGGGGGGCACAGGAAGATCTCAAGTTCAAGTCCAGCCTGGGCAATTTAAAGAGGCCCTATGTCATAAGTAAAAAGGGCTGGAGATGTAGCTGATGGCAGGTGTCCCTGGGTTCAATGTCCAGTACTGCAAGAGAAGCAGATGGGCAGTTTTGTTAGTACTGCCCTTGTCCATAGCACTGCCGCTCAAGAGTGGGGAGCTTTGAATGAAGAAGGCCTCAGGGAGAGTCCTCATCTGAACACCTACATTAAAGCCGGGAGAACTGTTTGTGCAGATTCAATTGCAGCTCTAAGGAAAAGATCTGTATATTAGGAAACCTTCATGATGATATATTAATAATTCAAATCTTTCTGTGCCCAAGAACAAGTAGACAGCAGGGAAGAACAGGTGGGAAGTAAGTGGCCACGTGGATATTCAAAAAAAGCAAAAAGATGTAGTAGACATCAAAGTCACTCTAGAGAAACCAAGAAGGCCTTGATGGGACAGTTAGTAGGTCAGATGTGACTGAAGAAAGGACCAGGGAGCTGGAGGAACCCTGAACAGAAACTTCTGAAAATGAAAAGCAAAGAGACAAGACCCACAGTAACTTCCAGGTGTAATGAATGGTGCACAATGAGAACCCAGGGACTCGGGAGGCTTACGCAGAGGGGACCCAGGCCAGTCTGTGCGACATACCAAGATTCTGTCTCAAAGTAAAAGTCAATTAAGAGGGCCCGGATGCGGGCTGGGGATGTGGCTCAGCGGTAGCGTGCTCACCTGGCAAGCGTGCGGCCCAGGTTCGATCCTCAGCACCACATACAAACAAAGATGTTGTGTCTGCCGAAATCTAAAGAATAAATACTAAAAAGTTCTCTCTCTCTCCCTCCCTCCCCCACCTCTCTCTCTTTAAAAAGATAAGGGCCGGATGCAACTCAGTGATAGAGCACCTCGGGTTGAATCTCCACACCACCAAAAATAATGCTCACTGGTGGCACGGACGACTGAGAAATTTCCTGAATTAGTGTCAGACACCAGATGACAGAACAGGAAACTAGGGAACATCAAGCAGTAAGATAAAGCCAAGATATCCACACCTAGTGACGTGTTTGCTGGACACAAACTATGTGCCTCAAAACCTTAAGTGCTGAAGTCCCAGCCCAGTACTTCAAACTGCGACTGTGTGGACATAGGGCTTCCAAGGAGATGGTTCAGATAGAATGAGGGTTTTAGGGAGGGTTTTACCCAATCTGACTGCTGCTCTTACAAAATGAGGAAATCTGGACATAAGGACACACCAGGGGCACCAGTGAGAAAGGCTAGGGAGCCAGAGTAAGAAGGTGGTCATCTGTAAACCCAGGAGACACGCCTTGAAGAAACTAAGCTTGCCACACCTTCATCCTGGACTGCAGCCTGCGGGACTGTGAGAAAATAGCTTGCTGCTGTGGGAGCAGCCCAGTCTGGGGGGTCTGTTGACGGCAACTCCAGCCCACCCATACAGTCTTTAACCTGCAGGCCCTTTTAAGGTGAGCACTTTCAAACTTAATACCAGTATGGTTTCTTTGTGATGTATACGTGGATTGAAAGAAAAATTTTGTCCACATTATCCAATAACCAGTAATAGATAAAAAAATAAAGTGTACAGAAGACTTTGACTCCATCTCCATTAGAGAAACACATGTGCAAATATAAAAACAAATATGATTTTAGCCCACTTAGTTTAGCCATTTATACATTAGTATAAGCTAAGTATAGTTTGTTCCACTAATAAAACATGTAGAAGGGTAACATCAAGGCAGGCACAGTGGTGCACGCCCCTAATCCCAGCTACTCAGGATGCTGAGGCAGGAGGATCCCCAGTTCGAGGCCAGCCCAGGTGACTGAGATAAACCCTGTATCGAAACAGAAACTAAAAAGGGCTGGGGATGCAGCTCAGTGGTAGAGCACACCTGAGTCAAATCCCCAGTGCCAGAAAAGAAGAAGGTGGCTCACTACCAGGGACCTCCACACGTCCCTGCAGAGCAACTAGGATTGGCAGCCATCCACCTAGAGAAGTGCCCTTGTGGGAACTCAGGGGCCCAGATCACAGGCTGCAGGATGCACGGTGAGGAGTGCTGTTGATGAGGGCAGGCCCACACCCAGGTGGCCGGCCTGTCAACTCTGGTGCTGCCTACAGACCTGGAACTGGCCTGAGCCCCTGTGCACCTGGCCACCGCACCCCCACCCCCAGGCCTTGGTGCTATCATCAGCACTAATGCTGAGGGTCCCAGAGTCATGCCCACTTACGTGCCGAGTGCCTGGGCTGCCAGGCTCAGTTGCAAGGGCATATGCTGAAGAGCTCTGTAACTTGGCCCCAGTGCTGCCCCATGCAGTCTGAGAGCAGTCCCCCCAACAGGAACCCATTGGAAGTCATGCCTGTCTGTGCCCCCAGAAGCAGCCTGCAGACCCCTCTCCCACAGCAGGACCTGAAACAGCTCCACCCCCACAATTGGTCCCAATCCCTCCCAGTTACAGGTAAGCACAAGTTGTCTTCCTCCCAGGGACCAACAGGGAGACACAGGTATCCATGCCCGCAGAGGCAAGCCAGCCAACCTTGGTGAGACTGCAGATCCCCAAGGAGCCCCGGGTCCCAGCTCCAGACCTGCTCAGCTGTGGTCCAGAGGCAGCTGTGCCTGCCCAGGAAACCAGCAGGATGCAGGCTGCCTATGCCCTGGGCAGGCTGCAGACCTGGGTCTCGGCTGAAGCAGCACTGTGACGCAATTCTGGCCCTCGCAGTCCACGTCTGGGGCCACTCCTGCCAGTGCAGGACCCTCCCCAGGAGCTAAGAAAGCCATAGGAAAAACAATCTAACCAAGGAAGGGAAACCTCTGGGCACTGAAACTCTGAGGCACTGGTGAAATCAACTGAAGAAGAAAAACATCTCACACTCATGGATTGGAAGAATTGATTTTACCACAATGTCCGGGTTGCCCCAACTAATCCAGATAGTGAAAGCATTTCCTATCAAAACTCCAATAGCATTTTTCACAGAAACAGAAAAACAATCCAAAAACCCTCAGGGGTCCACAAAAGACCACAAATAGGCAAAACAATCTTGAGAAGGGAGAACAAGTCGGAGGCACTACACCTCCTGATTTCCATTACAGTCATCCCTTGGCATCCATGGGGATGGTCCCAGGACCTCCCACGAACACCACAAGCCATGGACGCTCGGGGACCTGGCGTTAAGTGGCCCCGTGTTTGCACAGAGCTGACACACACCCTCCCATAGCCTTTGGATCATCCAGATTTCTTCTTACCTAACAATGTAAATGCCACTGGAATAAGTGTTCTACTGCGTTGTTGAGGGAATAAGGACAAGAAAATGTCTGTAGAGATTCCATAAAGATGCCATTTTTCAATGACCGGTTGGACCCACAGGTGGAGAACCCAAAGATACAGAGAGCTGTCTGTCTCTTACAAAGTGAACAACAGATATCAAAACAGTATGGTGGGGCATGAAAACAGACCTGCCGGCCAAGAGAACCACGAGAGCCCAGAACTAAAGCCAAGTGACCTTTACAAAGATGCCAGGAATAAACCCTGGGAAAGGCCATCTCTTTATCAAATCATGCTGCACAATAATGTAGGAAGGTAGTGATGGCTGCACAATATTATGAATGTATTTTACAACACTCAGCTGTGCACTTAAAATGTTGGGATGGAACTTTTCACCATGAAAACATTGGAGGAAAAAAAACAAACCTTATTTTGAATTCCAAATTAAAAAAAAAAAAAACTTGAAAAAAGTTTTGAGTCTTCCCTACCCAGCTGTCTAGTGACTCTCTAGGTGAGTAGGAGATGCCTGCAAAGAGTAATCAGCACTGGCTTAAAGGTCCCAATCATATTTCATTTTCCTAAGCAAGAGAGACTTTTTTCATGACTTGAATCACATTGATCTCAATCATTTGATTTCTCTTTTCAATAAAATCAGATTAAACTATCAAAAAACACAAAACCGAGCCAGTCACAGGGGTGCACACCTATACATAATTTCAGCTACTTGGGAAGCCGAGGTAGAAGAATCCCAAGTTGAAGGCCAGCCTGAGAACTTTAGTGAGACCTTTTCTGAAAACAAAATGTAAAAATGGACTGGGGATGTAGTTCAGTGGTAGCATGCACAAGGCCCTGGGTTCAGTTCCCAGTACCGCAATAATCAAATATTTTAAAATATATTTTTATACATTTATAAATATGTTTTCCATACTTTCACATATTTTATAAAGTGAGAAGACCTGGTCGTTGGGACTGCACAGCATGAAAGAGGGTTTCCTATGGAAGTTACTCTATGCTTCACGAACATACATCTGTGCTGGAATAAGGTTTCACACTAATCCAGTTCATCCTTCAACATCTGCAGGAGGAGGATTGGGAAATTTGAAGAGAACATACTCTCACCTGGAGACTAGTTCATAGCCCACCAACTTAACAGATCACAGGGAAAAGAAAATCATTGAGCATTAGAGTAACTGGTTAAACTAGGTTTTGACTGTTAATATAAGAAGCATTACTAGCTTTACCAAGGGCACACTGAAATCATACACAATTACTAAGCATCAAAGAATTTTTGCTTGCTTTTTTGATGCTGGGGATTGAACCCAGGGCCTCATGCATGCTAGCCAAGTGTCCTACCCCCAAAGAATATTGAATGTTTTAAAACTGTAAAACCATGGGGATATCAATCTCAATCCGAAAAAAATAAATTTAAAATGGAAAGTAACTTGAAATTTTAAAAAGTGTCTCTATTGGGATTTTTCAGATAAGCAGAACAAATAGGATATGGAGACAAAAAACCCAGACATTTATTATGAGGGAGTAACTCACATGATCCGGGAGACTAAGAAGGTCCAAGATCTACCCTCTGTAAGCAGGAAACCCAGGAGAGCCAGTGGTCCTTCTACCTGGACCCTGAAGGCCTGTGAACAGAGGAGTCAGTGGTCTTAATTGCAGTCCATTTTCAAAAGCCCAAGAACTAGAAGCTCCAATGTTTGGGGAGAGGAGAAGATGAATGCCCCCTCCAAGCACAGAACAAGCCCACCCTTCTTACACCTCTTTTGTTCATTTCAGACACCCCATGTTGGAGGATGGCCACCCTCACTGGTGAAGGCAACCCCCTGCACTGGCCTCATTCCCATGCTCATCCCAGACACACCCAGAAACCCTGTTTCACTGCATCTGAGCACCCTCAGCCCAGCCCAACTGGGCATCACAGTGGCAAACCCATCTTTCTGCTCAAGGACCCTTCTCTGCTGTGCCTCCTCTCTCTCCTCTGACCCCCGACCCCCACTGCCCCTCTGCCTCTCTCCCAGCTCATTCTCTCTCACGATCCCTGTGCCACTGCAAGTCAGTCACCCCGTCCCACCCTTCTCCACTTCACCTCCGTGTCTCCCCACCTCACCCTTAGGGAGCTTCCTAGTTCTTCTTGGTCTCTCTTCTCCTGATTGTCCACCCCATCCCAGCATCCATAACCTCTGAGGAGGCAGGGTCCATCTACAGTGGGGCAGGGGAGATGTACTTGGTGGATGTGAAGGGGAACAGAGAACACTGGTGTTGAGGACGGGGTGTGTCACTACACACTCACACCACCTCCAGGACTGGGCCTCCATGAGGTGGTGCCTGACCGTGGGAGGCTTGGGGGTAGCAGGCTGGGTCCAGGCCAGTGATGGGGCATCTCAGGACAGGAGTGGGTCTTAGGATCCCAGAACCAGGGAGCATGGCCAGGTCCTGGTCTCCCAGGGAGTGAGAACAGAGGCTGAGCCTGGGTCCTGGCCACCGAGGGGAGAGGGCAGAGGTCCAGCCCAGGCCTGGTCACTGCTGAGGCAGGAGAAGCACAAGTTCAGCAACTTAGGGTGCCACAGTCTGGCTGGGCACAATTCATGAGCCACTTATCAAGCAGAAATGAACTTTATTTTTAGAACACACACCCGCACCACACGAGCTCTTCAGGAATTCCCTCAGAGCCCAACTGCCACCACCGGCTTCCCACAAGCCTCTCAACACCCCCACTCCTCCTGCTCTTGAGGCCAATTGGCTGGGTTGCATGGGAGGAGCCAAAAGAGTCCCCCAATGAGCAGCTCTGTGGTCTGAAAGGGCGGGGAAACAGCCCAATGAGCATCACCACAGAAGAGCCAATCAGCTGGCAGCTGGAAGTTTGCTGGGGCCACTGTGAGCCAATCATCAGCTGGCAGCTGGAAGTTTGCTGGGGCCCCTTTGGCTGTGGCTCTCAACATTCATACTATAGGTTTGAGCAGTGAAACAGACCTTTTTTCCTGCTTTCATTGATGTCTTACCCCATGTTGATTACATGGAAGACGATTTTCTGTACCTCAGTCCTACACCCTGGATCCCAGGAAACCTTTGCAGCCCTCACTCCAGGCCCCAGATAAAGGAAAACCAGGCAGGTGAAATGAGTGAGGTCCGCGAGGAGAACCAATGGGGAAGCACTGCAGGGGCAGAAGACAGGGCTGAGAGGCACTGGGAGGCTGGGAGATGGGAGAAGGGTGGTCACTGCCCAGTCTTCAGGGCCCGTCCAAACCCAAGCCACCCCACCATCCTCCCCACTCAGGGTCCAGACGGGGCCCAGACCTTTGGCCAAGAGAAGTAAATTCTCAGTCACAGGCCCAACGTTGCTCCTCCCTGAACTTTTCTAACAGAGCAAGGACAGTGTGTGTGTCGAGGACGAGCGGGACAGCTTCCAGGACAACTTGTGCCTCTACCTCACACAAACGTGAGCAGAGGTGAACGTCTGTGGTCACTAACACCTGCATGTTTCTAGACCAAGCTCTGCAAGGCTTAAGAAGTTTAAAACTGATAATGAAAAGGTCAGCGCTGTTGATCCAGCCATGTTTCACCATCCAATAGGGAGCACGTGTGCACCAGGCCTGGAGTTATGACTATGCCCACATCCGTGACTCTGACCCACTTCTAATGGTTCAGTGTTTAATGACAGTGTCTTGTCACAGGACAACTAGACAGGACAGGCAGTTAACCACACATGATCCACCTCCTCTGCTTTACTTCCCCGTGGTTCCTCGGCAGGGCTCCCACCACCACACGGTGTCCTCGTCTTTTTCACACATGCTTCGACACATGAAGTCGAACGTAACTCGAGGGTTTGAAGGGCCTGGGTTCTCTTGTTCCCAAATCCTAAAGCTCAAATCCTAAAAGGTCCTGAGAGTTGCTGGACTTCCCTTCCTTCCCTTTACCCCGCTGGAAGAGTGGATGCTGCAAAACTGGGGCAGAAAGCCTCCTTGGCCATGAGGCGGACACTGGACTCTGGGAATCACAGACATTAAAGGGGAAATGTGGGGCCCTATGGTGGCCTGGGGTCCCCGACAGTCAGGAGTCGGAATTCTGGAGAGAAGGTGATTGGGTTCGAGGAGGCTGAGGGAAGGAACATGAATGGGGACTCCATTTCCCCACCTGACCCAGCTCTGGGTGTCAGCCTGGGTTGGGCACAGCAAAATCCCTCGGGCGTGGTGTGGACCTCCCTCGTCTACTTCCTACGCAGAAAATCTCTTGTATGTAGGAAAAGTCCTGCATTCTGCTAGTGAAAATAAGGGGCAGAAACACTAGTGGAGACTGTTAGAGGGGTCTCGATACTTCACAGCCCATCAGCAAATGGGACCCCAACTCTTCTTTGAAGCAGAGACACAGTTATAAGACAGACACAGGGAAGTTGTGCAGTCAGGACCTCAGGGGACATGAGACACAAGAGCAGGGACAGGCCGCAGAGCCCAGGAGCTCAGGACAGGGGCCTTCCCACCCTCTCCACACTGAGCTCCCGGGGACTGCAGTAGGGAGGGAATACAGGGAGACAGAGAGTTTAGGTGACAGCCACCACCAGAGAGTGGTCCCTCCACAGCTACAAGAAGTGGCAACACAGGCATCGCCCCTGTGTTGGGTCTCGCTGATTCTCCATCTTCTTTGACTTGATGGCACAGACTTCATGTGCAAAAGACCACACCAACTCCACCAGGGCACTGAACAGTCCAGCGTGGCGTCCACTGGTTAACCTGGCGGTCAAGGAAGAAGGTGCAGCAATTCACAGAAAGTCACAGTCCACTGACTGCACAGGGACAAACTGCTAGCCACGAACAAAGGTCATTGTACACGATAGTTAAAAGACCACCTTAATGATCACCAGGATGCTCTAATACTTTTTCAAAATGGTGTCTTCATGTGCAAGGTAAGTTTAACTGGAAAAATTGATTTTCCTTCTTGCCATCATTTTAAAAATAAAGTCTCTGACCATGGCTCAAAATAACCTGAGATTGCAATCTGTAGGACACTGACCCCGGGAGCCACCCCATTAATGCCCACTGCCCAGAGCAGGACTCTCCAAGAGCTCGGGGCTGAGGAGGGCCAGCGGGCGCCTGAGGCTCCTGGGGCCCTGCAGCTGCTCGCACAGCTTGACCTCGATGTGGCCGCCGCTGAAGGCTTCCACCCTGGTCTCCTCTACAGGGTTCTGCCTCCCACATGGCTTTGCCTTCCTCCGCGTCATCGTGACCCCTGAGTCCCCAGGCCTCTGCGCTGGGGAGCAGGGTTCCTTTACTAGGCAACAGCAAACTGCAGACAAGAAATTTTTTTTGAAGTTCTCGTTCATAAACGCATAAACGATGGGATTGCAGATGGAGTTGGAAAAGCCGATGATTTGCACGATGGCAAAGACCATCTTGACAGTGACTTCATCGTGCTCCTTTTCGAAATTACCTGAAATAAAGCAGCACTTCAGAATGCTTGTTTTACCATGAATAAAACAGACTGCTGCTCCTGGCCCGTCTTCACCACAAACTTACATTCACATAAGGGGCAGAGGCCCACAAGTCTCAAGAGCACTTGGGGAGGCACCTGTATCTCAATAAATGACCTTTGGGACGAGGCTGCATTCTTGGGAAACAGTCGTACACACGTAGCCTGGTGCCTATCACGGGGACTGTCATTCAACCCAATGCTCCAAGCATCCTGCCAACTAGAGCAAGAGTCACCTGTGAATGTTGCTGGTGTTCCAGGAACACAATCACACCAAGACCCACACTGGATCCTGGGTTGCCAGGGAGGACTCCTTGAGGGAGTCTGGCTGAAATCCTCGGCCTTACTACACTATGCCGGGAAGGCCAGTTCCAAATAAAGAAGGTCCATGAGGTGCCACCTCGCCCATGTTAAAGAGGGAGAAGAGACGGGGTCCCGGGGGAGAAGAGTCTCAAAGCGTCTCTTTGTCTTCTGTAATCAGGGACAGCTTGGTCACAGTTGTGCCTAATTGCCTGTCACTTACTGACTGGCGGTCCTTCCCAGGAAGGTCCTGCATTCCATGTCGGGCATTTGATTATCCGAGCGGAGAGAACACATCCCAGTGACTCATCGCCCATTAGCAGCCCACAAGCGAGAAAGCCCTTCGCCCAGCACAGACACTCACCGTACTCATTCATCATGTGAACCACGTGGAATGGCGCCCAGCACACGGCAAAGAGGGCCACCACCGTGACCATCATAACAACGGCTCGCTTCTTCCTCCTGGACCCACAGGGAAACACGGGTTGTCATTCGGCCGGCAAAGGTGTCCAGCTGGTGGCAACCCTTACAGCCTGTGCTCACTGTGGGCTGGTACTCGACTAGTGATTGGCAAGAATATGCCACTCACATTCCCAACAAGCCCCCCGGGCAGATGCAGCCAGGGGCACAGAGAAGCTGAACTACTTTGCAGAGTCAGATGGCCAATGAGGGGGCACTCTGGATTTGAATTTAGGCAGTCTAGCTTTTATTCATGGCATGTTGAAAAGCATTCATACCCGTGATAGGAAACTGTAAATACTTATGAAATGTGTGAGCCCAAGGAGGGAACAAACACGCAACCCTTTATTACGTCTAGGGAGCAAGGTCTTTACACAGATGGGCACTAGAGGGCACTGCACACCTGGCCCCTTGGAACCCGTGGAATAGCCAGGCCTCTCCCCGTACTGCTCCAGCAGTCATAAAGTAGAGATGGTAAGATAAAATATATGGACTGCACGTACCATACCAGTAAACTGTGTTTTAAAATTGCTATGCGCGAATAAAACCCAAAAGTATAGACTTCAGGTACAAATAAAATATCAATAATACTGATTTTTAACAATAACGTGCTCCAGTTTCAAAGCACCGGTACACGTTGTTGATGTATGTGAGTGACATCCTAAGGATGGGCTGTGCCGGCCCTCGGACGTCTGGGGAGAGCAGGTCCTGCTCTCCAGGTGCTGGTCTTCATGACAGCTGGCGAGTTTCAGGGCAGACCCCCGGGGACCACAGGTCCTGGCACCAGCCCTTAGCGACGGCCAAGCCATCATCGTCACACATAGATAAAAATGTAGCAGTGTGCCCAATCCCAGGGATGTTTCTATCTACAGCCACAGCGCCTGTTTTGACCTCAGAGCGGGTAATCTCGCTCTTCCTGCCTCAGCACAGTCTCATAAAACCTGAGGGTTTACAGGCCAGCCATGCTCTAAATCTGAGTTGGCTAAATCACGAGGGGTTCTGGGAGCCCTGGCGAATGTCCCACCCCAGCATAACTGAGTAAAAGCACTTAGAGAGGACCGTAGCCTGGGACCCACCTGGCGATCTTGGACATTTCCTTCCCATGAATAGTCCGAAGCACGGAGCCGTCCCCCACCCTTTTCTTGACCCAAAGTTCGTAGCCGATTTTGCCGTAGAGGACCAGCATGACCAGCAGGGGCAGGAGGAAGAGCGTGACGAGGATGAAGGTGGCGTAGGCCTTCTGGTGCGCGGGGCTCGTCCACTCCTCCAAGCAGCACACGTGCTCCTTCTCGTACAGGAAGTCGTACTTGATCTTGGCAGAAAAAGGACACGGTTAGGAGGACCAGCATCTGCACCCACAGGGCAGACGCGGCCCAGAGCCAGCAGCCACACCGCAGCCCTGCTCAGCCCCCCAGACGCCCCGCTGTGCGGGTCCCCCGGAATCATTTTTCCACGGCTGCTTGGTTAGGAAGTGTTTTCCACACAACTGCTCAAGTTCTTAAGAGTTTTGTGCTTTTATTTTCATTTTCTATCTTTCTCAACTTTTATTCCCCTGGCTACGAGTTCTCAGTTGGCTGGAAAAAGCACAATTAATAAAGTTCATGTTGAAAACATTTTGCATCAGATGCCAGCTAGCTCAATATTCACTGAACCAATCAATTAGACTTTTCTTTCTTAGTTGTTGAGGAAACAGACCTGGGAGTCCTCAGACTTCTTCCTAGCAAGAGGCTGAGAGCCACGTGTTTTACTAGTCTCATAGTAGAATGATCCGGTTGCTTGGAAACAGATCAAAAGGGCAACTGGTCAATTCTGAGATAAAAAGCAAATTGGATTCAAACTCCTGTCCGATTGTATTTATTTGCCGACATGTTCATACTGTTTCTGGCAGACTCATCTTGTACATTCAAAAACATTATTAGGAACCATGACAACATCAATGGTTACTAAAAGGGCTCGTTTCAGGACCAACTAAACGTTTATAGCACATTTGAAAGTCATGTCTGAGTGACAGGAATAAAAATGAGGGAATCTGTCCAACTGTCCAAACCACTTCAACCACCTTGGACTGTTCCAGGTGAACACTTAGGTATCAGGCATATTCTGCCTGCACTCCCAGCAAACTCTGTCACTAATCATCAACATCCATTGAAAAGGTAAGAAAATTTAAGTTCTCATCCAGGTGTTGAGGGAATACAACGAGGAACAGTAACATTTAGTGGGGGAAAAATTCTCCCCAGGAATGGGATTAAAAAAGGAAATTCATTCCGACTTCAGGTAAGCAGACCTTAGAGGGTCAAAGGGGATACCTCCCATTACATCCCACAGCTGCACGGGAGACTGGTGGCCTCCACACAGGACTCTGCAACAGTGGGACAAGCCCAGGCTTTCCAACAGCACACCTGGATGGGATTGTGACACCCGTACCAGGTCCTCCACTGCTCTGGCTGGTCCTGGGGCTGGGACATGCTGGGCCCACATTCTCACCTCCTCTTCCATAATTACCCTCTCCCTACTCGAATCCACACCGAGCACCAACTGTGGCCATCAGTGAAGCCCTGGACCAGGCAGTAGAGCCCATGCCAGGACCTCTCGCTTCCCTGTCAAAGCCTGTTTCTGTTCAGGGTAAGGCCTGGCATTTGGGGAGATGGTATTTTGACAAACGTTGGGACATTGTGAATTCACAGGTCACAGTGAGGGGGCAGAAGGGACGATAACTTTGATTTAATCACTTCCTTGCTTCCAGGTCCCAGAAACTGTCAGACATCACTCCTGGGAGGCCACCAGACAGCAAGGCCCAGAACTTCAGGAGTAGTGCTAAGATAGCTGCTGCCCGTCCCCGTGGAAACCAGGAGCAAGAAGGTGGCCCTACTAATGCACTTATAGTCCCTCAAAAATGAAATCGAACAGCAGGCAAATCTGATTTGGCTGATCTGGGTTTGACAGGGCAGCTTTGCCAATTAGATCATACAGTACACATTCTCTCAAACTAAACAAAGGACTTATACATTAAAATCCATGTAGAGTACACAATAAGATGATTTTATTGAAGAGATTGGTGGATCGAGTTTTCCTCCCAAAGGCTAGAAATGCACTCCAGGTCATGGTCTGCACATGGAACATCCCCCAAAGGCTCAGGTGCTGAAGGGCTGGCCTGATCTGCAATGGCCAGAGGTGGGGCTTTGGGGAAGGGATTGGACCAAGAGGCCCTGACCTCCTCAGCGGATCGACCCACCGAGGTACTCGGAGCTGAAGGGAGTACCGGGAGACGTGGACACTGCAGCAGGAGGGACCTGGCTGGAAGGAGTGGGTCCTTAGTGCCCCTGGGGACTGTACCTTGTCCCTGGCTCTCGCTCTGCTTCCTGGCTTCCAAGAAGGAGCAGGTTCCCTGGACCACACCCTTCCACCATGATGCTCTGCCTTACATCAGGCCCAGAGCAACGGAGCTGTCTGACAGAAACCCTTGAAAGTGTGAGCCCAATAAGTCTTCCCCCTCCAAGTGGTTCTTCTCAGGTACTTGGCCACAGCAGGGGAAAGCTGACGTCTCCTGCTGAGGTAAGGGTAGGGTCAGCTGCAGGAGCTGTGGTCCAAGCTGTGTGGCCATGAGGGGTCTTCCTGAGCAGCTGGCCGGAGAGGGAAGCCATCAGAAGCCTCAGTGCTGGTATCCTGGGGAGACCCAGGGACCAAAGAGTCTATCACGGGCCACAGCCATCCCCAGAGGGCACCACCTTCAGAGGACCTCTGCCCTCCATCTCCCCGCCCTCTTTATGGGCTCCCGAGGAGAGAGAGGTGGCAGAGAGACAGGAGTCGAGGCAGAGAAGGAGCTGACCACAGCCCCTCACAGCTCTGGGCCTGAAATCATTCCAAGCAGAGGGAAAGGCAACGTTTAAATTGACTGCAAGTATGAGTGATGTGATTGTCTCCGGACATGGTGTTTGACAAGGGGCTGAAAGTGACCAGAGGAAAATATCACCTGAGTGGCTGGAGTAGAGTTGTGGGGTCCACTCGGGCAGCAAGAAGTGGCTTTGTGCTCTCACCCACACAGTGCAGCCCACTCAGCCCAGCCCCCCTCATAACCCAAAAAGCACTGGCTACTTTCCAACTGTGCCATTATCTTGGGGCCCACTTGACATCCTTGCTGGCCCTAAAGTTCCATGTTTGCCCACCTCTATTCACAGCACAAAGGGCATGTCCCTTTAAAGGCTGCCTTGTGCACATCCTGTCCCTGAAGCCTGCCTGTGCTAGGCTCCCTGTGCAGGACACACTGAGGCACAGCCACAGGCTGGGCCACCTGCAATGAACACACTGCTCCCTTGACCCTGAAGCCCAGGCCGGGTGGGCCTGTCGGACAAGGTGTGGGAGGGAAGTCACAGAGATGATCCCTTGACATATTTCCAGTTTCAGTTTGTCAATGAACAGAGGCAGGTAAGAAAGAACTAAGTAGACAATCTTAAAAACAAATTTTTATGTGATTTAAAAATATAAGAAAAATCTAAAGCAATCATTGAACTCTTAAAATGCCGCATGACATGGAGAGACACCGGCATGCTCACCTTGCTGTGGAATGCATTAAGTGACCTTGTAAATTTAAAAATGTTTATTTTAAAATTAAAATCTTCACAATATCAAGAAGAGCTGGATAAAACAGAGTGGGGGAGTCTTATTTTACTCGGGTTAAAAGACTTCCTGTGAAATAGCTGAGGTCACACAAATGTTCTGCAATGCTCTTGAAGGAAAGAAAATGACTGCAATTAAGAGGGGTGAGAAATGGCTCAACAATCGTCACCAGCCCAGCCCCAAGTCTACCTGCAGCTGCTGCACGTGCCACATGGGGGAGCCCACGATGATGGCCACCAGCCAGACCACACCTGCAGAATGCAGAAGTCATCAGAAGGGGCTCTGCTGAGAGGACCACAAGGCGCTGAGGGTCGGGCCACCAGGACTCCCTGTTCACCACGCCCCGAGACCATCCTCCTTCTCCCCTGCCCTGGGCAGCGCAGTGGGCTCATGGGTTCTGAACCCTTGGCCCCCTCCACCAGTTTTAAATGTTAAAAACTCCTTAATAACCTTCTCTTGTCTGTAAGGTAAACCCGACTCTGGGCAGCTGGTTTGCGTCCTGAACCCCAGTGCCTGCTGAGCGGCTCCGCGCCCCGCCCCCTGCTCCTCGCCCCAGCTCCTGCTCCACGAACCCCTGTGCTGCACACCCCTACTCTGCACACACACCCAGCTACTCCACGCCCCGCCCCTCCTCCACACAGGCCCCCTGCTCCACACCCCTTGCACTGCCCCCTTGCGCTACCAGCATTGGCCAGCCAGTCCTCACCGTCCATCCGTGGTCGAGGACGATCCATTTACTGTTTTGTTGCCCCAAATAAAATTCCAGGGAAAGTTCCTGGCCCTCGGTGGGAGCTGACCCATGTCTGCTGAACAGACTAGCCACTTCCATACCGGCCCCAGACCACATCCACCTTCTCTTCGTGAATCTAAACTGCATTATGTTAAGCCACATAACCTGGGCACTGTTTTCTGACCCAGGAAACACATAATTGTGACTTTAGAAACCAGCCGCCCTTTCTAAATACCCTGCCCCCCATTGTGAGTTTGTTGAGAGGAATTACCTGATAGGCTCTTAGCAAAGAAGAAAAAACGGTGTAATTACCCAGGAGCATTTCAGCCTAGGAATATTAACAAATTAAGAAGAGGCCAAAACCAAGGGCCATCTTTGATTTGGGGGAAATCAAACTCTGGTTTTCTTTCACCGGGCGAGTCATTATAAGACAGCACATTCCTTGGGTTCCAAGAAGCTGAGACTCGGGCCACACTAGGGTTGTTAGAGGAGACCCATGAACTGGCACCGTGGGCAGACGTCCTCCCCACCTAATGATCCCAGGTGGCTCTGGGGCTCCAGAGCGTCTCTGCACTCCAGCCTCCCCCACATCTACTGGGTTCTAGTCGTGTGGAGCTGCTCAGTGTCCAGTCCTTTTCCCATCCCTAGCAAATTCTGGGGGAATTGAGTCTCCTGGGCTTGGCTCACTGCCAGTCCTCCTGGGCTCCCCACTAGCCCAGGATGGAAGGCGCAGGGTGAGAGGGACAGGCTCACACAACCCAGGACCACTTCTGGGAGGTCCCCGATTGGGACCTGGGAGGGCAGCATCAGCTAGAAGGAGGCACAAGGCCAAGGACCCAGGTGTGACTGACAGGGCGGTGCACTAGCAGGAGAAACCACCTGTGGGGAGCTGTCAGGCAGCAGGGTTCAATGGCCGTGTGTCTCTGACCATAGGACCTGCTGCTCTCCAGGACCTTGAAGCTGGTATGCTTCCGGCCCACTGTCAGCGTGGCCTCCGTGTGTCGAGACCCATCTCCTCTTTCCCTTTCCTGCCTGGTGACTGCCTCCGTGTGTCCCTTTCCTCGTCCCCCTCCCCACCACACCACCTCACATATTTTAATGCTACAAGGTGGTCAATTATCAAAAACCCAGAGACCTTTGAATCCTTCATAGGAAAGACATGGCATAAATTTGAAGATAACTGAAACTAATGGATTTTCCCCTGTTGATTCATCCATTCATTTCCAATTATTTAAGATAAGTTTAGGATTGCAAAGCCCTCAGGAATCCTTTCTGTAATTCCACAATCCAATACTAACTAAATTGTCATAGCAGAAATAAATGCTTGCTGACACCTTTCACATGATATAGTAGTAAAACTTGCTCTCTCTGATGCCCACTCGGCTGCTTCCTGGGCCTCTGTTGATTTAGCAGCATAAATCCCATCAGTGTGAAGCCCATCCAGCTATGGATGACTGAGCGGGGAAGTTCTCCCAAGTCACTGTGCCAGGCAACAGGACGCACTTCAAATGTGCCACTTGGCATGTGGCACGTTCACCATGGCAGCTAATCGGGAGCAGCAGGAGCAGCTGGAGCCAACTGGGCATCCAGGACCCACTCTGCTCTCTCACAGCCGAAGCCTCCTGCTGTGCACTCACCGCCAGGTGCACCTCTGGCAGCCCTCCTGTCCTCTGCCCTCTGACCACATGTCCCCTGCCCCCTGGGGACCTGCCTGCCCTTGTTAGCTCAGTGCTGAAGGTTGAGGGCAAGGCCTCTGTCGGGCTTCCACAGAGGAGTGGGAGGTAAGTTTGCCTGAGAGGTGGCCCCAGGAAGTCAGTGTTGGGACAGGCCTGAGGAGAGATGGGGGGGCTAGAGGCAAATGGGGGGGCAGTCTGCACGCCTCCAGGCACCCAGGGCTTGCAGGCCCGGGGGGGGGGGGGGTGCGACCCTCCAGGGCATGCACGTGGTCCCCTAGCCCTACCAGCTCAGCACATGGCCTCACCTAGCATTGTGAAAGCCCTCTGGTTGGTGTACTGCCACTTCATTTTAAAAGGGTGGACAAGTCCCTGGTGCCTTTCCACAGCAATGCAGGTCATGGTGAGGATCTCCGTCACAATGGCGGTGCACTGGACAAAGGGCAGCAACTTGCAGATGAAGGCACCTGCCGGAAGGAAGCAGGACACGTCACTCTCAGAGCAAGGCCACCTGCCGCAGGTGGGCGCCCAAGCCTCTGCTGGGGACCCCATCGCTATAGCAACACTTAGACACACACAGCAGTGGAGATGGTGCCCGGCTTGTGTTTTCTCTCTGTTGGGCTCCCAGTTCCTAAATGCCACATGCACATGTATACCACAATGGGGGACGTGGGGGGGACAGACTGATATCTAGCCATTGATGATAAGTAGGGAGAGTCAGCGAGCAGTGGCCTCCTGGGGTCTAAACCACACAAGAATCTGATTCTTCTTCCCTCTTGGTTCCCTGTCAGATTGTCACAAAGGAACAGTGGTCATTAAACTCTCTGATGTCACCAGATTTCTTCTCTTTGACTCCTGTCCAAGACTCCCTATGCACATTGTGCCCCGGCACTCTTAGCTGATTTTATCTTCTCTAATGCAAAGGCTTCCAACTGGTGGCAGCCGGGCGAGATTTGGCCCACAATCAGGTTTTGTTTGCTTCATATAATACTTTTCCAGAAATTTCTGAGTTCACTGCCAGTCCTTTAAGTGTTTGTGCTACCTGTCTGGCCCCTCACCATCGGGATCTGTGAGCCCTGCTCTGGCACCCACCCTGCTCCCTGCCGCCTGCCTGTCAGAGCGCCGGAAGCTCAGGGCGCATAATGACTTGGAACAGACCTTAGAGGTCATGCAGTACTTCACGCCGAGGCAGAAAGAGATCTGCTCACGTCTGTCCAGTGTGCGGCCAGACTTAGCTTAGAGCCTGCAGAGAGGCCTTGCTGGCGCCTCCCACCTGAGGCCTCTACGCGGCTTCCTCTCCCAGGACTGACTCCCTCACGTGGTCCCCACGTCTGCTCACATGTCACTGTGATGGCTGATTTCAAGTGTCAGTTGCTGGGCAAAGGGAGCTGGCAGAACCATCTGTACATCAGGATGAGTTTCTGGAAGGAGTCAGCGGTTTAACCGACAGACTGAGTCGAGAGTGCAGGGGGCGCCGTCCACCCCACGGGTAGAGTGCAGAGGCCAAGAGCACGCAGGGAGGGTGAACTGCCCTCTGCCTCCCCGGACACATCTCCTCCTGCCCCTGGAGGTCAGCCGCCCTGGCTCTCCGGGACCTCCAGCTTGCAGGTGGCAGATTGCAGGGCTTCTCAGCCAGTCCCTCAGGACAAATCTCCTTCCATCCATCTCCATGATCTGCTTCTCTGGAGAACCCTGACTGACGCAGTCCCTTCCCACTGAGGCCGAGCTACCCTAAGGCCCTCGTTTAAAGCAGCCTCTCTCGTTCCATGTCCTTATGTCTCTCTTACTCCTTCCCCACCTCTTTCACCTTCTCCTGTAGCCATACATAGGTAGCTATGATAGATGCACATGTAATTACTAATTTGTTGCTATTATTTATTCACAGTCTCCCTGCCCCTTCCGGAATATAAACATCCCAAGAGCAAAGACTTTTGTCTATTTTCTGATGTATCCTCAACATTTAGAATGGCACACAGTCGGCCCTCAATAAATATTCATTGAATGGAAGAAAGTGGATCACTAGGATGCTCTTCAGCTCCAAAGGCATCCCATTCGGTTCTGAAGAGGCTCTAGCTGGAAGGAAGGGGTGCTTTTCAATTCCAGCCTCTTCTGGTTTTGCATTCAGAGAATCCCGGAGCCGGAAAACCATCTTTCCCAAACAGCAGCTCCCGTGTAGATGAAAAGTGCTTTCTCGCTCCTCCTAAGCCTGCGCTTCCTCAGTTTCCCTCTCTGCTCCTCATCTGACATGCCGCCCAGACCTCTGTGCTGGCTGGACCGTTCGGACAGGAGCCTCTGCGTTGAGGACGCAGATGGGCAGCCGAGGCCATACAGCATTTGCTTTTTAAATTTTTTAATTAGTTTATTTATTTCAGTTAGGTATATATGATAGCAGAATACATTTGATTCACTGTACACAATGGCAGCACAACTTTTCATTTCTCTGGTTGTGCACATGTAGCATCCCACCATATGTGCACATGTACCTAGGATAATGACGTCCACCTCATTCCACCATCTGTCCTGCCCCACTGAACCCTCTCTACCCTCCCTTCCCTTTGCCTAATAAAAGTTCCTCAGTTTTTCCCAGCCTCTCCCATCCCTGTTTTGTATCAGCTTCCACTTATCAGAGAGAACATTTGGCCTTTGGTTTTTTGGGATTGGTTACTTCCCTTAGCATGATATTCTCCAACTTTACCCATTTACCTGCAAATGCCATGATTTTATTCTCTTTTCATGCTGAGTAATATTCCACTGTGTATGTATACCACAGTTTCCTTCTCCATTCATCTCTTGAAGGGCACCCAGGTTGCTTCCACCGTTAAGCTATTGTGAATTGAGCTGCTATAAACATTGACATTGCTGTGAGCTGCTCTTTTTAAGTCCTTTGGTTATAAACCAAGGAGTGGGATAGCTGGGTCAAATGGTGGTTCCATTCCAAGGGTTCTAAGGAATCTCCATACTGCTTTCCTGACTGGTTGCACCAATTTGCAGTCCCACCAGCAATGTATGAGTGTGCCTTTTCCCCCACATCCTCGCCAACACTTACTGTGTCTTTATTCTTGATAACTGCCATGAAATCTTAGAGTAGTTTTGATTTGCATTTCTCTAATTACTAGAGATGTTGAACATTTTTTCATATATTTGCTGATTGAATGTATATCTTTTAAGTGTCTATTCAGCTTTTTACCCATTTATTGATTGTATTTTTGGCGTTAAGTTTTTTGAGTTCTTTCTATATCCTGGAGATTAGTGCTCTACCTGACATGCATATGGCAAAAATTTTCTCCCAAAATGTAGGTTCTCTGTTCACCTCATTGATTGTTTCTTTTACTGAGAAGAAGGTTTTCAGTTTGAGTCCATTTTATTTATTAATTCTTGATTTTATATTTTGCAATTTTCCTAAGGAAGTCAGAGCCTAATCTGATGTGATGGATATTTGGGCCTACTTTTTCCTCTATTAGGCGCAGGGTCTCTGAACTAATTTCTAGGTCCTTGATCCACTTTGAGTTGCGTTTTGTGCATGGTGAGAGAGAGGGATTTATTTTCATTTTGCTGCATATAGATTTCCAATTCTCTTAGCACCATTTGTTGAAGAGGCTATCTTTTCTTAATGTATATTTTGGTGCCTTTGTCTAGTATGAGATAATTGTATTTATGTGGTTAGTCTCTGTGTCCTCTATTCTGTACCATTGGTCTACATGTCTATTTTGGTGCCAATACCATGCCATTTTTGTTAATATTGCTCTGAAGTATAGTTTAAGTCTGGTATTGTGATGTCTCCTGCTTCACTCTTCTTGTTAAGGATTGCTTTAGCTATTCTGGGCCACTTATGTTTCCAAATGAATTACATGATTGCTTTTTCTATTTCTATAAGGAATGACATTGGGATTTTAATTGGAATCGCATTGAATCCGTATAGCACTTTGGGTAGTATGGCCATTTGACAATATTAATTTGCCTATCCAAGAACATGGGATATCTTTCCATTTTCTAAGGTTTTCTTCAATTTCTGTCTTTAGTGTTCTGTAGTTTTCATTGTAGAGATCTTTCACCTCTTTTGTTAAGTTGATTCCCAAGTATTTTATTTGAGACTATTGTGAATGGGGTGGTTTTCTTAATTTCTCTTTCAGAGGATTCATCACTGATGTATAGAAATGCATTTCATTTATGGCTATTGATTTTATATCCTGCTACTTGGCTGAATTCATTAATTAATTATAGAAGGTCTCTGGTGGAGGCTTTTGGATCCTCTAAGTATAGATTGCTTTGCTTTTTTTTTTAAGAAGCTACTTGGAAAGATTCATGCAAAATAAGAGTAAAATGCAAGAGATAAGAAGTCATGAAATCAAAGAAACTGAAGAAGGAATCCTTGGAAAACCAGTCTAATGGAAACAGCTGTAGAGCCCTCGATAAAAACAAAACAAAGCAGAGCCTAGAGTGCAGTCGTCAGAGCTGGAGTTGACGGTCTCCCAGGAGAAAGTCTCAGAACAAACCCTGGAACTGGTCCCATGCAGCCGAGAGCTGGGCTGGGGCAGCCTCAGCACCGCTGACAGCCACGAGTGTTTTCAGGGGGTCCAGGTGCCGTCCTCAGGGCGACACTGGCTGAGAGTCCTGTGGGGCTCGCACTGCTGTCCTCGTGCACGTGTTACAGGTATGGGAACCCAGGACACAGAGAAGACAGATGCTGGTGTCTGGGTGTGGCTTGAGAGCATCCTCCATAGGCCGCGGTGTTGGAGGTTTGTTCCCCACAGTGGCCATGGAGATGAGTGGACTTTTGAAAAGTGCTAATCTGCAAGATTTCATGATTCACTAATGCAACTCCTTAAAGCCTTGAGGGGATGTTGTCCTCATCAAAATACACTCAGAAGAAGTCTTTTTTTTTTTTTTTAATTTTGATTTCTTGGTGCCAGGGATTGAACTCAGGGGCACTTAACCACTGAGCCGCATTCCCATTCATTCTTTTAAAAATATATTTTATTTAGAGACAAGGTCTTGCTAAGTTGCCAAGGCTGGCTTTGAGCTCACGATCCTCCTGCCTCAGCCTCCTGAGCTGCTGGAATTTCAGGTGTGCAACACCACGCCTGGCCAGAAGAATGTTTTCAGACAATAACATCTTTTCAATTTTTCATTGTGAAAATCCAGCCACAGGATACAGAGAGGAGATCTCCCTAATTAGAATTAGGAAAAGTGGTGCTTCCTGAAGACCAGGTGCTGTGGTCCAGCCCCTCAGAAATCATGTTGGAGTCCAGCCTCCACTGCGAGGCACTGAGAGGGAGGAGACTTAGCTGGCTGTGTGGCTGGGCCACAAGGAGGTTAGGGCTAGCTCAGGGCAGGCCCATGGTTGAACCTTGGTGGCTTTATAAGAAGGGACAGAGATGAGAGAACACCTCTGCTCTCCCTGCCCCTGGCCATGGGCTGCCCTAGAATTCTCCAGATGGGACCCTTGAACCTCCAGAACAGTGAACCAAATAGACCTTATAAATTATCCTTCCTTGGGTATTTCAGTATAGTAACAAAAGTGGACTAAGCCAGAGTGAGCAGGGTCATTAAGAGCCCATCTAGCTGAGGACAGGTTCACCACTTGACGTGGGCTTGGATCAGCCATCACAAATCCAGCAGGCAAGCAACAGGCTGGGCAGGAAATCCCGCCCCTCCTGGGTGTGATGACCATGTGGAAAACAGACCTTAATGCAAGGGTCCTGATTACCAGTGATGGCCTCGCCGGTACGACAGAGAAGAGGGAGAAGTGACAGCCACGCCATCCGCCGAGAAGTGCTCAGGGGAGGCCTCTTACCAGTGGCCAGCGTCCTCTACCCCCGTCCTTCAGAAGCAAAACTGAAGCCCAGGGACCGCAGGGAATGTACCAGTGGTCTCCATCTCCTTTGTGCATGTGGATCACCTGGGACTTCTGGGACCCAGGAGCTGAGATGGTTTCTAGCAAGGTTCCAGGTGGAGGCGACGCTGCAGGCACTGGTCCGTGGTAGATAAGGAAAAGTGTACCACAGATAGAGACCCAGCTCATGAAAAGGAGAGGCTCATCTGAGACTCGAATGCTGTTGTCACCATGGTAACCAGGCCAGAGAGGTCCTGGGAGATCCGGGTCCACTGATGTGCTGCGCTGCAGGCAGAGTACCTCATCAAAGCACCCTCTCCTTTCCTGCGTCTTCTCTGCCTCCCACACGAGTCCTGCTGCCCCCCATGACCAGAGC